TTAGCCCAAACTGAAAACCAGCACATAAGCTGAATTAAAAACCATCTTATAAATACAATTATATATTCTTAAAAGTCTGCATAACTGACTGCTTTATTTAACTACACTTGTCAGACAAGCTTAAAGTAAGAGCCAGATCCTCATCCATTTGAAAAACAGACCATGATCAAGCATCCAATCATTCAAAAAGATGTTATGAACAGATAATGTTAGTACTTGTTTGAAGTAAGGTCAAGAAATACGATTTTGAGCCACATACTTAATACTGAGACATAATGATTAACACATATTAAGACTAAATAAAATAAAAATAATATTTTTCTTATACATTTCAATTTCTGATTTTTTTCTAATTATTTATTGCTGCAATCAAATTATTTGAACTTATAAGCTGATTCCCAAACTTCAGTAGCAGAAAAATTTGCTAAAAATTCTGGGCTTACACATGGAAATATTCAATCATAACTACAAGAAAAATCAAAACTGAATCTTTGGCATACTAAATGAAAGCAAAATATTATTTTTCTTTAATTATTTAATGTAAGTATGCAATACTGCTCCAAACATTATAAGGGTAGGCAAAAATAGGCTGCTGCACATTTGGGCACAGTTTCAAATCTCAGATATAAGGTATGGATATCTTTGTGAAACTGGGCCCTTGAAATCCATGAGTCTTCAGAAATGGATAGTACGGGTAAGGGATTACAACACTTGGATTTCATTCTCCACAGTGTTCTTGATTACATCTGGAAATGAGCTAGACAATTACCTTATATATTCACAAGTTTTTTCTCCAATGACAACCACAGTTTTTCATAAGGCCATTATGGGCAAAAATAAATACATAATAAGAACATACTACTTAAATATTTTTTCCTAAAAGCTGAGAAATTAAATCACTGTCAAATCTTAAATATTGTAAATTAAAAAAATGACTTATATTTTAAACAAATTTACTAAACACTTCATAAAGAGTTATTTAAATTTTTCTGCTTTATCTTTTTAAGTTTGGATATAAATTTTTAAATATAAAGAAAAATCTTTATTAGCATTAAGCAAGTTTTACATGTAATAATATTTATTAGCATTAAAAATTAGCAAGTCTTATACACAATAACATTGAAAATTAACAATACACATAATAATGAATATGCAGAAATAAGAATACACAAAGAGGCATTCTAAAGATAAATCAATGGAATAGACATGTATAAGCAAAGTACATAATATTATAAAATAACAAAATAAGATATTAGGTATTGCTTGGCATTTTAAGCATTAATACTGTGACATGAGAGCATATGGTACTTCAAAGATTCACTTCTTGTAAAGCAACATGAACAAATTCCATATTTAAATGGCCTTTCACCAGTGTGTACTCACAGGTGACATTGCATATTGTATTTTTTATGAAATATTTTTTAACAATATGGGCAAGCCGTTATCCGTGATTTAGATGACCTTCCAATAGATTCAGCTTCTCCAATAAAAAGCAAAACTGAAAGCAAATAAAGATCTCAGAAAAAGAAAAAAAAATAATGCATAAGCAGTTCTTAAATTTCACATACTATTTAAACCATGTATAGAAGATATAAATAATATAAATCTCAAAATAATGATATAATTATGTTATATATTTTATACTGAAGGAGGAGAAATGAGTTTGATCTGCTCGCAAAAAAAATTGTGGATTCCAATGATTGAAATTCGAATAAGTTTCGAGACAAGGCATGCATATTTCTAAAGGACATAATTTTATTAATCCATTAATCTCTTAAAGGACATAATTGTATTATCAAGCATTTTTTAAAATGAAATATGATAAAAAAGTATCTATTTCTTGGAGTAAAATATTTATCTCTACATAATTTCATCTACATGAAAAACACTAAAAATATGCATTATAGAGATTGAAGGTGCTTTAGGGTTATACTACATATTATTATTTAAGTAAATTTTTATGTATTAAAGCAGTATAGTCTCAATTGAAAATTATTCTGAATAAGGATTTTATTAAGAAGAGCGTGAAAACTAAACAATTACAGACATGCCCCTATATCTGGGAGTTCAATGTCTGTGATTTACAAAGGGGTGGGAAAACCTTTGAAGCTTCAAAATATCCATTAAAAATGTGAAACACAGTCCATGAAACAAGCAAAGCATTCTATTCTTACATTAATAGTGATTACATACATGTGCATATGTTTTAGTGGATGCAGTATAGTATGGTATGGGTATGAAAATTGTTGTTCTTAGAACTTCGTGTACATTCTGAGGTTATAATGTGTTTCTCAGAATTATGCTTTTTGTAACTGATCTTTTCCTCATTATGGTTGAAAAGCTTAGCAAGGGAACACATTATCAGTGTTTAATATACCTGACTGCCATCCCTCTGGCCCACATACACCACTTTTCCTGTTAAATTTACTTTAGCTCTGCTTCTAGTAGTCTTCTTGTTCTCACTAGCAACTTCTATCCCAGCTCTCATATTCACAATTTTTTTCTTTACTTTACAATGGTTACCAAGCATGGATAAAACATCATGATTTTTCATAAGAAAAATCATGATGTTTTATCCATTACTGAGAAAGAAAAGAATGTACAAAGTAAATTTTGCATTACTGTATTAATATGCATTATTGTGTGTACAAGCCATATTTACTACTAAAAGCAACACTATATTAACTACAGCAAATGAAATTTACTAATTAACTAAATTTACTGATTTACTTTATGTTCTCTTCAATCACGGCTTCAAACAATTTCAAAAGAGAAAATATCCGACTCCTAATTCCGTGAATTCATTAAGATTGGAAGAGCATTTTTACCCCAAATAATGCCCACCTTTTCTCAAAACCCTAGAATAACATTCTTGTACACACCTGCATTGAATGCAATCCACCCTCTTTGTAGAATTACTTTTTCCCTCAAGCATTTTCCCCACAAACATATTGCTATCCTTATCGTTTGCCAATTCAGTATACCATTGTTTGAAAGGTCTGGGAAAAATCTTTGAATCAACGACTTAAAAATATAAAAGCATCGCACATTTGTTAAATAGTTTTGCATTAATGCTGCATTCATTATTGTATTTTTCATCTTATACTTACATGTTACATTATGTGTCATTCCAAATAAATTCATCCAATTTTAGGCAACAGTTTAAGAAATCAATGTTTTTGGATAAGTAACACTAATTATATGAGGACAGCTGTAACTTAAAATTCCATCCCATTGATTATCCAGTTAATATGTAATTCACCATTGCATATTTATCGATGAGAAAATTCTAATATAAGAAAAGAATGTAAGAAATGACTCATGATGAAAACAAAATTTATATTTTTGCTTTTTTTTTTTTTTTTTTAATTGGAATTTTTATTAATTCAATACATATTTTTTACTGTAAATGCCACTACCAAAAGATCAAAGTCGAATCTTTTTCCATACCATTTAGAAGCCACCTCAAAGATATTGTTCTTCAATTATTTAGCTTAGAAAATAAAATTCTTAACCTTTTGCATTTCTTTGATCATTTCAGATAAAATCAATAAATAATCCTACATTATGCAACTCTGATGTTTTAAAACAGTTAATGCATACTTACTGCTTATCCATACATTATATATTACTGTTTAAACAATAATTTTATAAAATATAAATGAATATGCACTGAAAAAACACAAAATACTGAGCAATTTGTAAAAAGCTGTTTTTAATGTAATCTTAAACATATTTTATATTTATAATACACTATTACATATATATCATGGAACTGTGATTATCCATTAATGTCAGAACTATTCACTGTATAGAAACTTCTCCCACCATCACATAATGGCAGTCATTTAAACCCAAAAAGTTTAATTATAGCATACTGAAAGCATATTTATTACAGCAACTAAAAAGTACACATAGAAATTGCAAAACTCTTACTGGTACATCAAGTTTTAAAAACTGCAGAATAAGTTATAAAAAATATTATACATGAGATTACTTCATTTGAAAATTAATTTTTAATAGAAAATATTTTTTATGTAGTTTTACTTGGTGACATACAATAATACTCTCTCTGAAACAGCATTTTAACTTTTTATTCTAATTACAGTAACGGAATAGTCTTATTCTACTATTCAATATGGCCCAATTTAAAACATGATCCATTTCTCGTAATATTTATTTTACTTGTTTTCTGGTTATTGAATTCAATGTGTTTACTGGAATTATAATTTCTATATACTTGAAAATTAACATAAACTTTTTAAGATATATATACAATTAATACGAGATATGTGTACTGTGCAGTATAGCTTTATAGGCTTACTGATGAACAGCTACATTTAAACAAAATTTATTACATAGATTTGGGTAATTACTTATTTCACTGTTTGTTTCCATAGCTTTCCAATTCCTTAAGATAAAATTCAGGTCATTAAAGAATATAAAAAAACAAAATATTTTATATAACAAGTTAATATACACTAAGTAACCAAAATTTCATGGCCTGAAAAGTGGTCATGTCACTTAGAATGTTAAATCTGATCTTTGATGCTTCCACCGAATCCTTTCATTTTCAGAAACTAAGGAATTAAATTATATGGCACTATATAAACAAAACTTTTCGTTCTAAACTGACATGACATATTTTTTTATGAAACATAAAGTATAAACTAGCATATCAAAATAAGCATTTTATCAAATGTAATTAAAACGCTTCTACTTTATAATGAATATACTTGCATACATTTTTAAAAGATGAGAAAAATATTATCAATCAAAAATCAAAAAAGCATAACACATAACAATGCTGGAAACAAATATAAAAGGAGATATAAGACTATAAACATATTATATAAGGCTTAGCATTCTAAAAATACGGTTTATGAAATGAACCAATATGGTATTTCAAAGATTCTTTTCGTTTAAAGCAACGTGAACAAATTTCACATTTAAATGGCCTTTCACCAGTATGCACTCTAGTGTGACGCAATAAATCTGACTTCTTATAAAATGCTTTTGTGCAAAATGAACAATATTTAACTGATGAGTCACAAGATTTTCTGCCGTGTTCATATCTTCCAGAAGCATGCAAAACTAAAAAAAGAATGAAAGTTCTGTTCAATATTTTTATTTAGCAAAATTATTAGAATCACAGTTATTAAGTAAAATTACTAAGTCTACACATTATGAAATGTTACATACTGAGTATTAGATAAAAAGTATTGCTGCATAACAATAATAGTACATTATGATTACAGAAAATGCTGACTTTATTTAAGATATAAACTTTGCTTAAGCTTTGCAAGAAAATCGGATGGTAGTATAATGTTTCTCAATACTCTGTCTAAATATAACATCGAGGAACCTAGTGAACTAAGTAGTGAATTATGGCTGAGTTCCAATAGTTACTACAAAGATGTCAGAATGGATAAAATACTCTTTTATTCATTCAAAGAAATAATAACAAATGGCTCCTTCTTGGGCTTACAAGAAAGCACCCACTCAGACTTTTAAATCAGAAAATAAGAAACTAATCTAATAGTACACTAAATAGACTTAGCCGAAGTTAGACACAAATACCTACCATTGTTGACCTTTAAATTAACCTAACCAGCAATTCTCAACAAGCATGCACAATATGGCCGAGCGAAATAGATTCAAGAATGAAGTAGCCAGAAGGCAAACATGTGCTACTAAGAACTCTTAAGCACTCTCTTTCGAAGTAAGTTGAACTTCCTTAAAATGCTTCTAACTCATTTGCATTGAACATGATTCTAAAACCTCATTCTGGAAGGGAATTGTAAGTGGGAAACAAGAACTGAAAGGAAAAGTTTTCAAAATTAAAATAACTGTTATAAAATTAAAATACACCTTACAGCTGAATAGATCTGGTGATCAGTTCTGAAAAAGTGGCTGTCAGTGTTGGGCAGTGCTATCAAATCTTATATCACATTTGCTTTAATGCCTCAAACCTCCTTTTCTATCCAAATTAAAACCGTACAAAATATTTGCTTTAAAAGCATCCAGCTTATCATATAGCTATCACTGAATGAATTTAAAAATACAATGCATTTATGTTTTACAATTTATGCTACTTAAAATGCACAAAAAGTGCCAACTAATTTATTAATTAAAAATTTTATAAAGAATTTTACAGGAATAAACATATGAAAACTAAATATGAGAATAATATGTATTTAATACTTAATGGGTGGTCAACAAATAATTGTGTAATAATGAATTTGCTACAAAACTACTATGGTGAAAGCTATGCTTCTTTATTTTCTTATTAATATGGTGCTTTTGTGGATATTTTAGTAGGATTATTTATAAGGTAGCAAAAGTGGGCACACCCCGATCAATTATAAGGTATTCCCCCCTCCTCTCAGCATGCCTTTATGGTGTAATTGGAAGCACACTCGATGCGTATTCAAGAGGTACAGGTTCGAGTCCAGGCGAAGGCACTGCTCATTTTTCATGTCTCCCGCATTTTTTTTTTTTTTTAAACTCTAATAACTCTGCAGTGGCACACAGTGGAACTAAAATTGTGGAGGAAGATGATTCTTCACCACCATGATTTGGCGACTGGCTCCCCTCATCCTCAGTGGCCTTTTAAAAGGGAGAGCATATAAGTTATTTTCTTTCTCCTTTCTACATGCCTTCGTGGTATAACAGTAGCACACTTGGTGTACATTCAAGAGGTCCAGGATCGAGTCCCAGCGAGGGCATTGCACATTTTTCACTTCTCCAGCATTAAAAAAAAAAAAAAAAAAAAAAAAAACCTAATGACTCTACATATTTATAAATATATTTCTGGTTAGGATGATCATGGCAAAATACAAGTAGGCTATATGTCAAAATATCATATTTCAATGAATAGTAAGATGACTATAAAATTAATTTTATTAAAACACACATGCAATTTCATCTATACAGATTTAAAATTGTGGAAATTTAATGATTAAATTATTTCAATTTCAAGATCTAGCAGAAAACTAAAGCACAGTTATTAAAATACATCTACATTATCATAAAAAAAGTTTCAATTTACACTTTTTCCTATAAATACTTTTAAAATAAAACTATGAATAAAATTTAACGACAGCTTTAAAAATGATAAATTATTTTAATTTGCCTACAAATTAGACATCAGAAAGTAATACTGCTTTAAATTATTTCCATAAATGTGGATTATAGATCTTCATACTGCCCTTCACTTTTTTCCTTCTGATTTTTATGTAATTCATACTGGTTCCAATTTATTTAAACAGATTACAAAATTCAGTATTTTAACCCCCTCAAATTAACAATAATTGTCCCAAATTATTGTCCAAATGTAAAAGATTGTCCCAAATTCTGAATTTTTGTACTGCTGAATTTGAAACTTTATAATAAAATAAATTATTACAAATAACAATTTGACAAATTATTTACTTAAGGCATAACTAGAGAGTGTTGCAAAAGTAACACCACATAGAATAAAATGTCTTAAAAGTAAATATTTTGTTTGATTCATTTTCAGAACTATTTACAGTGTTTCTAGTAAAGAATAAAAATTAATGAGAGTGCTTCAGTAAAGAGAAATTTTAATGGTGGGGGAGACACAACTGCAGTCAAGTCTATTTCCTGCCACAATCTAATGCTAGAATCTATACAGAAATTTCTGAATCTGTGGCTTTTTACCTCCAATCTATCGCACTGTAATGTCTACTCTCAGCCCTTACAGCATTTCAACTACTCCAGTTACATTTTTGTTTCTAGTATTATTCTAACTTGAACTCGCTCTCCTCCCCGAAAAAAACCTTTTTCCCTAAAATTTATATGCCTATACAAATATTTGATTTTTCTTTCCTTTCAATATAAAATATAACATACATTGCTTTTATCACTACAAACCAGCATTTACTATACCAGCATACCAAAAAGAAGTTTCAATAAACATATGGGACTGGTGGTGAAACTAGTTTACACTTTTTTTATGTAAGTTATATAAATGTCACACAGAAGGTTTTTTCAGGTAAGAGAAGACATAGCAGATCTGCACAATAAACAATTACATTGACTAACAAAATCAACAAGAAAAAGAAACTCCTCTCTTTATATATATACAGGTATATGAGAAGAGAAATTGTAGTTAGGTTGCCAAAAAGTTACCAAAAGCTGTGGCTCCAAGAAATATCCAACAAATGCATAAGCTAGAGGGCGATTAAGCTTCACGAAATGAAAAGGTCCGTTTGTTAATAATAGTAGTAGAATTGGCCATCAAAGTAATTTAAAACTATTTAAACAATAGTATTAAAAGTATTGTGCCAAATTTTTGGAGGAAAGAAAACGGAGTGACAGGAATTATCTGTACATTTACACATTAGATTCTCAGAATCAGCCATCCACTTTATACCATCCCATTGGGCTTTAAGTATAAATTATCATTATCTAACTCAAAAATCTAAAAATTGGTAAGGCTAATGCCAGCTTTTTTTAAGGTATTTTTAATTACTTTTTGAGGAATGAGGTTATTTTTCAAGATTGTCACGAAGTAAAGTATTTCTTCTTGAAGGTGTTTTGCTGTTTTGCAGATTCTTTTAATTCTAAGAAGCTGTGAATAGATTATGTTGAGGATGACTCTTTTGGATATATTTGAATTCCAGTTGGTTAATTTGTAATTTTATGCTCATCTAGTAACTACAACACTGGTTGTTTTTCATTGGTGAAAGTACAAAATGTTTTTGCATTCACTCACAATATAAACAGATATTTTAAATTTAGAACAATTGAAAATTAGTATATACCTGTTTATTTTTTATCCTAAGGGGGGATATTAAATTCCCAAAATCTAATATAAGGACAAGCTTTCATGAAAATTTTGGAAGTTATTTAAGTAATCAGAATATTAGTGAAATTCAAAGATACTTTTACTGATCTCAGAGAAACTTACCAAAACATGTTTCAATTCAGAGCAGAATTTTGAACAATTAGTCATAATAATTTATTTTATTTTAGAGTAAATTTAAAAAATTACAATTAACGATTTTCTATGGTACAGATATTAAAGTTAACAATAAATTGAATTCATAAAAACACAATGCATACAAAAATTAAGTCTTGAAAAGGGAGGGGACCAAAAAAAAAATTCCATTATGAATAGATGATTGATTTTTCAATACTTATTCTAAAATAAAATGCAGTATGAAAGATAATGATCTAGAGAATTCAATGTCAAATTCTTTTACATATTATTAATAGACTATTTATAATTATTTCTATTGCCTCATTAAAAATAAAATACCAGCATTCTTACTGACAAAAGAAATCCGGCATACGTCTTGATCAAAATGATATTTTATAATAAAAATAATAAACACACACAAAAATTTAATAGTGGCAAATATAAGAACATTTTAAACTCTTTCAAAATCATTTACTGCTTGCAATAAAACTGAATTTAAAGAAATGCACAATTCCAATCTAGCTGGTATCAATTTATAAATATTATTAATCATTTTAATACTGCCTTATTTTGAATTAAAATTTATCTCATGAAATAATGCAAAAATGATGCAACATAAAAAATATACATTTTGTTTAACTGACTGTACTATTCATACATATATTTAAACTTGAAAGATTGTTTTATCATAAAAACATCCAAAACACAAACTATCAGCATCAAGCACACTGAATAAATAATAATTTCGTACATTTTAAAATTTTTACTTTCAGTGTGAGCTAGTGAAACAAACATTGGACTAAAAATAGGAGCAAATATAAACTTTTCAAATACATGGGAGAAATTTTTATGAATGCTAATAGCATGCACTTTAATTTGAAATTAAAAAAAAAATATCATGAAAAATTTATATTGTGATATACTATATTTATGTGCATGATATTACATTTTTGCATTCTGAAGATTTTTATGATAAATATCACGCAAATTTATATTAAAAAAATTAAAAAGAATTTATGAAATTTTTGAATTACATTACTTTTCAACTTTATTCTCTGAAAATGATTTTCATAAATATTTAATGGAAATACAATATTTTCACAATGATATAAAGTTAAAATAATAAAATCAATAAACAGTAGGTACAGGGTGACGATTATTGAACTACATGAAATCAAAACATCATAACTTCTGAACAGTTTGCGTGATGAAGTTCAAACTTCGTATTTGGCTGCAGGTCATGATGGAAGCTAGTATGTGCATGCACATGCAACTTGTTATTGTCAGCCATTTTCAAGTGATAATATCACGGTACAGCGTGCCTGAGCATATAGCACTTGTGATGGTCTGTTAAGCGAGCAATTACAGCCCGATGGCGGCTCAAAGGAAGTTGGCGACCAAGTACAAGCTGAAGACAACTGATACAAGTGTGCTAGCAATCAAGAACTTGATTCGCAAGTTTGAGAGAACTGATAGTGTTTGAGATGACAATGTTGGCAATGTTTGAGATGACAAGGTTGACAAACAAGTGTGAAGACAGCTGAAAACACCGAGAAGATGCGTGCTGTGTACCAAACGAGCTGCACAACAGGTGGGAATCAACTGAGAGACCCTGCAACAAATAGTTGTTGAAGAACTACATCTCTTCCCACACAAAATTCAAAACCATCAGCCATTAATGCCCATGGCCATGGAACAGCAGTTGCATTTTGTCAACACTATTGTCGAGAGAGTTGACGAACAAGAATTTGATGTGAATATGGTTTGATTTAATGACGAAGCCCACTTTTATTTGGATGGGTTAATTAATAAACAAAACTGCCACATTTGGGGGACTGAGAACCCACATTTCGTGATTAAGAAGCCTCTCCACCCTCAATGGGTGACTGTATGGTGTGGAATGTCCAGTCACAAAATAATTGGAGCGATATTTGTTGATGGTTCAGTGACTACTGAAAGATAGATGAAGGTTTTGAAAAATGATTTCACCCTAATATCCAAAGTGCCTACGATTTCGACAAGATGTGATTCATGCAAGACAGAGCTCGACCCCATTGGACCAAGAGTGTGCTTGATGTCCTGTAGGAGCATTTTTGGTGACCGTATTCTCGCTCTAGGGTACCCATAGGCCACTGGAATGGGATGTGCTTGGCCACCATATTATCTGGATCTGAACATGCGTGACTCATTTTTGTGGAGCTATATTAGAGACAATGTGTACAGAAATAACCTCAAATCCATTGCTGAGTGGAAAACTGCCATTTAGGAGATCATCGGAGGCATCAATGTTTCAACACTTCAGCAGGTCATGCAGAATTTTGCTATCTGTCTGCACCACATCATAGCCAAAGATGGCAAGAATATCAAAAATGTCATAAACAAAATCCGAATATCTGCAGTGGTGTTTACATGTTGATTAAAGTTTGTACACTCAGTAGTTTTTAAATAATTTATATTTTATTTCATATAGTTCAATTAGTGTCACCCTGTATTAGCAGCTGGATTCAAATTACAGATATCCTCTTAAATGAAATTTTGGTTGGCCAATAAGTTAGTGATAATTGAGGGATTTTAACTAATATGAATGTTAATTAGAAATTTAAACTTGTATTTTTAAAACTTATTTCTGGATGTTGCACGCCAGATGTCATCAAATATATTCCCTTGACATTCGCTTATAAGAGTCTGAGCATAATCAGTGAGGTCCAAGGTCATATGCTATCCCTGTTGTTTTAATATCTACTTAAACTTGAAATAAGAACTTGAAAATAAATTATATTAGACACTGCAAACTATCTCATTTACCTATCCAACAGGAAATATTTTAAATAATTACACAAATAAGAAATAGAAATTCCTCACATAAATAAATGTAACATAATAATAAAAAATTTAGTCAATTATATAAAATAACTCCATGGAAAGAAGTCATATGATATCTCAAAGATTCATTTCGTTTAAAAGAGCGTGAACAAATTTGGCATTTAAATGGCTTTTCACCAGTATGCACACGTATATGACGTTGCAGATCAATTTTCTGATAAAACCTTTTGTTGCAAAATAAACAAGAAAATCGCTTCAAGAGATTTCCAGAAGTACACAAGCCAGAAGATGGTAAATTAGCTTTATTACGCTGGTATCCTTCAAAATGTTCATACTGTCCAATGAAAGCAGAAGCTGGAACAAAAAACAAGTTACAAAATTAGTAATAGGATACAAAACAAAGAGAAAAAAATAAAGCAGCACAATTGCAACAAATATTTCAAATTTAATAAAAATTATAGATTTATAGTTAATATTAAAACAACCATATCAAATAATAATACATTTACATAATTATGCCAAAATTTCAAATAGGAAGAAATCTTTTGATCTTTCAGCCTGCACGTGAGTACCAATTTAACAAACTAATTTCTTTTTTATTCATCAGCATTCCTCCTTAGGAATTTAATTTCCTAATATAGTTGTATACCTATGTATACCTATATATAATATAACTATGAATTAATTACTTAAAAGTGCAATGTTGATGAAAGATTGACTATTTAAAATTAAATATTGCTACTAATTTGGCTGAGGCTTCACTCTCTGCAAATAAGCATTTAGTTATTGATTATCAATTATTTTTCTCATATTAAAAAAATTAATTTCTTACACATTTAATAAGGCAAATTAATTGAACATTACCTCTTTATAAAGAAAATAGTTTTCCAAGACATTGAAATATAATGCTTACATGTACAGTTGACTTCTGATTTAACCAGGGCAGATTAAAACTGTTCTTCCTTCCCTACCTCAAAAAGTGGTATTTATTTGTGAAACGACAGAAAAATTACTATCGTAAAACATCAGCATAAAACATAACAATAAATAGTTATATGGAATGATTCAAGAATGAATCTTCTTGATAAACAACAATGGTTATCAATAATGATTCAAATTTCCTTGTAAGTACTGTACAGCATACTTTGAATCCTCTAGGAAAAAACCATCACACAGTGTCAGCACCTTCCCAAGAACTTACAGGAAATAAAGGTTTTGCTTTTAGAGCCACGATATTTCCTACCACAAGTTATGATCAACAACCTATTATGTGGCATTTAAATCAGACCACATTCTTTACTAAGTCAAATCCTTCTAAAAATAAAAGGTGTCATGTTTTGTCAGTTTTAGGATTTATTTATATATATAAAAAAATATTTATGCTCTGTTTATTTTATGTTCATTACTGGTTGCCTTAAAGAACTGTGCATTCAAGAACAAAATTTTATTATAATAAACTGTTTATTTTTCAATGCTTTTGTTTTGTCTGCAACTTTATTTCTGGATATTAGTACAGAGAGAACATGATAAAGAATAAAAATGAACAGCATTGCCAGTACATATGGAAATCATGGGTACCTACAACATTATCTAGAATCAGAGTAAAAGAGAAAGAGGACACTCCCGTCCCCCATAGAAGAATAATTTTTTTTCCTCACTTCTTTTATTAGAAGTATACAATATGCATCAGGTAAGATGACAGAATGCACAGTAGCATGCCTTTAAACTTGATAGTGGGGAAATAACAACATAAATTAACTGCAGACTAATAAATCACCAAATTATCGCTTTATCGAAACCTGATCACTCTATGAGAAAATGAAACCAAAGGTCTAAAAACAGGCTTATAATGATTTAGATGTAACAAAGCTTGAGAAGGCAGGTATTTGGTGTGAAGTATATGTACAGCCACACAATACACCTCAGCATAAGAAACATGATGCGTGATATGACATAAAATATATATAAAGTGAGGTGTTTTCTTGAGGTTCAAGGACTCTCTGCAGTTTTCTTGAGGTTCACGGACTCTCTGCACAGCAGCTGCTGCTTTGCATATCTTTAATGGTACAGCATCTACAAGGTGCTTGAACAATACACACGAATGCATTAATGGCATTATACTCATTTTTCAGATTAATTATGATGAAAATGAAGTAAGTGTTCATTAAAAATGTTGCCTTATGCATAATTACTCTGGTTTAGCACTAGGAGTAATGGTATGGAATGTGACTGGATATAAGCCTTGTTTCTATATGACATTCATATCTACCATTTTTGAAACAGACACAGAAAAGATAGACAGCATCCCCTTGCAATTGTTTTCAAGCTGCATTCATAAAAATTCCCCCGCCCCCAATTGCAGGTCCTCAGCTGATTTCGGCTTGGCCGAAATCAGCTACTAAGGCCAGAAGTGGTGGTCACTTTATTATGGAGGCATGGACACTTAGAACCATGCCTTCTCCGAGATTCGAACCCGGGCACAGGTATCGCAATCAGCTTCCCTAACCACTATACCACCTGGGTGCCATTCATAAAGATGGGTATCTTAAAGATCTTTATACATCTATACTATATATCTGGGCTTATTTAAAAATAAGTCATAGTAAATTATATCAAATCAATAGCAAAAGAGTACAGTTGAACCAAATCGAATCAGATGCTGTAGGGAATGGAAAAACTCATACACAAGGGTGAAATAAAAAAACAAAATCTTTTTGCAAACCCCAAACTGGAAAATATCTGGAGAATAATCATAAAATGTTAAATTATGTAACATCATAAAATGCAGATAACAGTAAATGGTGGTACAAAAAATTAGACCAGAGATAACTTACACAATATATGCACATCTATTCACATACTCTTCTTAAATCCTAACCATTTTATCTTTTACCTTTTTTAAAATGCATGCAGCCAACAACCTCGAATTTATGATTGTAACTTTAGTAAAATATAAAGGGGGAGAAGGGAGTACATGAGCAAACAAGGTAGTATGAATGATGAACTTTTCAGATGTGATGTGATAAAGATGCTGGTAAATAAATATCAAGGTGCAGTCATGGCTAATTTCTGCTGTTATTTATTTTTATCACAGCATCATTGAAGGGAACACATATCAAACTAATAAAAGACATGCACTCATTATCTAGTAATTACTTCCAAATTTTTCACATACTGACAGCCAAAAAGCTGGAGCAAGGAATAAAAGGGAAGCCTACATGTTAGTAGACATAGAATGAGAATTGAAAAAAAGATGTCGCGTGCCATGTTCCTTGACGAATCCCACTTCATCATCAACAGTGAGTCTGGACATTAAATAGCATAGAAAGAGGAGAACTCAATGCCATCACTAGAATACCTAGAAAATTTATGGCTGAAAAGCAATTGTTTGGGTGGATAGAGGGAAAAATATTCTTCATACCTTTGACAAAAATACAGTAGCATTACAGTGATACTGTGCCAGAATTCTCCTAAGTCATATCTGTTTTTTTCCATGGTGGAATTGGTCCAGATATTCTGCTCAAGGATGATATTGCTCATCTGCATAGGACAAATTCCAGACACATCAGCAAGAGAAGATATTGAGTACATGACATGGTCTGCATATTTCTCTAACCTAAATTGCATCCCTGGAATGCATTGGGCAAATACAGTGGTCAAAGACAGAACTCATATCCAAATGTACAAAAGTTCAAAACTGCCTAAGAAGGTACGAGATAGAATCTTTCAAGATTTCCTACACAGTTTAGTACATGGCATATGTCAAAGACGACAAATATGTATAAGTGTCCAAGGAGGGCATATAGTATCAAACTGACACTCATTTGGGCTTATTTTGAGCAGTGAGCCTGTTTCACAACCATTGGAAATAGTTGAAAAAATCTTTTATTCTTTTGTTTCGCTTGTTTTGCCATATAATGATATCTGCATCTTTTTGCATACATTCAGGAACCTTTATGTCTCATTTCATTAAATAATGTCATCATTAGCTAAGATGAAAAATGACTCTGTTCCTTAGCAATTATCAAGCAATGTTCATGTCTGTATGTATATTATTAATTACACACATTTAGTTTTATCAGCTTCACTTAATTTTCAAAAATATGGTTTTAGACAGCCTTTAAGTTGGATATAAAACTATCATACATTTTTTTAAAAGTTGTTTTAATATTTGAAAACTATTTTTCTGGCCTTCATAAGCTGTTTTAATATATGAAAAATAATTCTGACAAAATCTGAAAAAAAATTATTTTCTATAATGGTAATATTTGTAGAGTTATTAGATTATTTTGAAGCAGGAGACATGAAAAATGAGCAATGCCCTCACCAGGACTCGAACATGGACCTCTCAAATATGTGCTGAGTGTGCTATTGTTACACCATGAAAGCATGCCAAAAAGAGGGAGAAAATACCTTATATACCCCCCTTTTAAAGGGCAACGGCGATTAGGGGACCCAATCACTAAATCCCGGTGGTAAAGAATCATCATTGACCACCTTTTTAGTCCAGGTGCCACTGTAGAGTTATTAGGATATTTTGAAGCAGGAGTACATGAAAAATTAGCAATGCCCTTGCAAGAACTGAAACCTGGAGCTTTCGAATATGCGCCGAGTGTGCTACGCTACACCAAAAAGGCATGTTGAAAGGAGGGTGAAAATACCTTAAATACCATTTATACTACATGAGAAACATACACACATAAAAAACCCACAGCTGTGATAAGGTATTAAAATATATGGGATAATTCAGAGTTATGAATATAATTATTAACACTAGTTTTGAAACATTGTTTTCCTTCAAAAATTTTAATATCATCCATCAGAGTGTTTCATCTCCAAAATGCTCTGAGTTATCATTACTACAGGTAAAACAGGCATATGTAATTGCAACAGCATATACTTATACAACACATACCCTTACAACAAATGTTTGAAATCACTGCTTCTTTACTGCAAGCAATTGGAAATACAATACTCACAGCAATCATATAAGTACGATATCAGATGCAAGAAGTATGCTTTCTTTGAATCATTATATTAGATATGGATTACCAGCATAGATCATACCCTTCAAAATGGTACCATAACAAGAAGAAACACTTCTGGATGTAATACAGACTTTGAAGAAGTTGGTTACCAATACATCAAGATCTTGACAGTACTTTTTTTTTTTTTTTTTGTTGTTGTTGTTGTTGGATTTTTTAGTTCTCCTACACAGCACAAGTATTTTATATGCACAAAAGGGAGACATTCTGAAGTATTCACCAGAACATTTAACCAAAAGAAACTATGACTAACAAATTCGGTTCTTCACATTTACTATAATCAATGAAACCTCTGAAAAGAACATTCTGTTTCTTTAAT